TGCAATAGATTATCAGAAGTTAAATCATAACGCTTGACCAAATGTGCATGTGAGGTATTGAAATGTTATTAGTATATATACACTTCACAAGGGAGATTACGTATCTGTTGAAATACATGCATACACATAATTGTATAGTGGTAATAGGTTGTCAATTGAGTTGGAGAGGATACCTCGACAGCGGCCTTGCAGAACAAAATCATGCGCTTCATAATTTCCTGAAAAAATAAAATGTGTAATCATATGCCAGTCAGTAGGCCTTGGCTTATTCTCAGTTTATCAGTGCAATCAAACACCAACATATAGAAAATTAACCTGTCTGCTGCCCCCATAAATGTCTTCCTGACGGTGTCGGAAGATAGGAGCGTCAATGAACACAAAATCAACTCCATCGATATAAGCATGGAAATAATTCACTTCCATATCCTGCAGGACAAATTTTTTTACTTAAAATTGATTTATTATGATAGTAAGCATTGAAATTTCAGCTCCCCTTTGATTGCATTTTCGCTTACCTGTCCAGCAGCCTTGTAGTATTTTCGGACTCCGACATCGTAGGCTTCCTCATAGTCCCCATACCTTGGTACCACAACCTAAGATAGAAAGGATCATTTCTCAATTATCATCAAATTTAAAATTTCAGATCATCAAAGTCTAGCCAAGTCCATGATTCTAGATTTTGAATAATATATGGTTTATATGATACCACAACTATTTTCTACTTTTAATTTCTACAGAACAATTGGGATGACTGCAGAAAATAGTTTACTCTTTACTGGAACTAGTAAGAGCGTCTCTAACTGAATCCCGAAAGTTAACTCCCCAAAACCCTCTGTCACAAGCCAACTCCCAAAAATTCTGGGGTTTTGGTGGCTCTAACCAAACCCGAAAACTAGCTCCCAATAAAATTTTCTTTAAAATGAAAGCTTGACAACATACATTTAGCCATCATCTACATTACAAACATCCACTGTTTACTAACAATTACAGTGAATATGATAGCAACCATTAACCGGAAATGTTGATAAATTGATCATCCAGTACTATAAATACACACACGGGTGCTGGCGATATTTGGTACTTAACTGAGGATAGGAACTACTTATTCGGATCTACAGGGCAGGTAAACCTGACGTCGGGCAAAACGGTCGATCGGGTACCCGACACTCATTCCCTTCACTGATGGCGTGGTTATCAGCCTCCTTATTTGTGAAATCCGACTGCTAACCACCACTTTTTGCAAACCCCCTCCCGCACCCAGTAGGCCCCAACAACCTAACCTCCAGGGTTGGCTATGAAATACTCTAACAGAAGAACACTTTCATGTCTTGCACTTAATAACATTATGCCAATCACTGATATTATTCGAACATATGGACTCAACAGAGTTAAGTGAAAGCCTGCAGTACCATAACACGATGTCCTCTCTTTGCCAAAGCCTTGGGCAGAGCACCCGCAACATCTCCAAGACCACCTATGCAACACAATGTTTGTTCTTATGAGTGATTCGAGCAAAGTTTTATGAACAACGGGAAGAGAGACTGAAGAGGTAATGTCCATGCCTGTTTTGCACCAGGGAGAACATTCAGCAGCCACGACGACCACGTTCATGACGTTCTCCCCTGCCAAAGGTCCGGAATCATGGTTCTGGTGATGTTCAAAGGAGCCCGCATCATCTGCAACAGCCCAGCCATCATCCTTGGCCTCCACGGGCTCCTCGAAGCCAATGTATTTCTTGAAGTCCCAAAGGTCTTCTTGTACAGCGGGGGCTGCAGGCGGCGAAAGAGCCTTTGGGTTTGGAGCTTCTTCGACGATGACCGCACCCTTCTTCAGTTCAGGTTCAACATCGCTGTCAATGTCCAGCCTGGGAGCAGAAGCCGAGACCACGAAATTTGAGCCGGACGACGGCGGCGGCTTCTCGGCTGGGACAACGGACTCCGGCGCCTTGTCACTGATGGAAATGGTAGCTGCGGAATCCGGAGCCACGACCTCGGCTATGCTCGTCGGCGGCGAGGCGACGTTAGCTTTGTTTTCACCGTTCACTGGTACTCTGTTCTGGGTCGACGGATGGGGCGCGCGTGCGGGTGCGGGCAGCCCGCTGTCTTTGGTCGCGCCGCCGCCGCCGGTAGATTTGTTCTCACCGTTCACCGGCGTGCCGTTCATACTCGGTGGACGGGCGGCGTCCTGCCTCGGTGCCGGCGGTGCCGGCGCGCCACCTTCCGCGGCGTCGCGATCGAGCGTCTTGACGGGATCCCTCCGCTCCGCGACCTGCACACGAGCGCGTGCGTTTTGTAGAAACAATTCGTGAGCTGATCTCGAGGCGCACGCGCCATACAGCAAGTCATAACGAACCAACTACCTTGGTGGCGGCGCCACCGCGGCGTGCGCGGGGCTGCCTCGCGGACGCGGCGTCGTCGTCGACCCTCGCGTCCTTCTTCCCGGCGGCGCGCGCGGCCACACCTCCGTCGCGAGCCGTGCGCTGCGGCGGCCACGGCGGCCAGTGCAGCCTGCCGGCCCCGGCGTGGGGTGGCGGCGCGCTCACCCTCGCCCGCCTGCGTGATCTCCCGGGGGAGGCGGAGGCGAGCGCGAGGAAGGACGCGGCGGACGCGACCGCCGACGACATGGCGGCGGCCGGGATCGGGGCGGGCGATGGTACGATGCGCGGGTTGGTCCTCCGCCCAGAGCGCGGCGCAGGCGGAGGTGGTGGCAGCGGGAGTGGGGAGTAGCGCGGCGGCAGTGGGCTGGACTGGACTGGAGTGTGCTCTGTGGGGTAAACGCACGGGGTCAGGCCGGGGAAATGGCCGCGAGCGGGGGACGGCGACGACGGCGGCGGCTTTACACGAGGGGCGGGTACGTACGAACGGCCCCCTGGCGGGTGGCGTGTTGGGTCTGCGATTTGCGGCCGCGGCCCGCGCGGAGCACGCTGGAAAGCGGGGCCGGTGCCACGCGAGCAGCGCACGAGGAAGCGTCCGTGGTGACAAGCTGCTGGAAGGAGGTTGCAGAATCCACGTGAAGACTGAGGACGGAACGGGGCTTGCGGCGAAGGAGCAGGAGGCCCGCGTTGATTGTGTAGATAGATAGATAGAGCACTGCAACTTTTTTTTTTGGAGGGATGGAGCACTGTAAGCAACTGCACTGTTTCGTTTGTTGGTTGATGCATGCCTGCGCTCTCCACCGCAAACGCGGTGCGGCACATGCGTTGGCGCGTACTACGGGATAAACCAAACGAACAAGCTTTGCAGTTTGCTTGCTTGGGTGACGGCCTCTGACAAGTGACGATTTGTCTTGTTTGCTGCGGAGCGGAGGACACTGCTTTGCCTTTTCTGTTGTCCAGGTTGTTTAGCGCGCGATGAGACCAACAACCGAGGACGAACGTGGTTAGGATAATTTCTGTCCTCCCAATCCTTTTTTCTTGGCGGCAGTAGTGGTTGTTTGGGGTCCTGGAATCTCAATGTATTGTTCATTATGTTCGAGATGTTTTGTATTTCGCTGAATTTTGATAATAGATTCGGATCATTTTTGCAAAAAATAATAATACACTTTTGTAGCGCACATGGTTTGGTCCGGATCTCCTCGTTCCAGCGTAGCTCTCCTAGCCATAAAGTCATCGTCAAGTTCGTGTTACCCTGGTAGGGCGCTACCAACTTAAAGGAAAAGAGTCGTCTTACCGTTGCCTTTCCGGATTTTTAATTTTTTTCCTTGTTTGTCATCCTTTTTTCTTTGTTTCTTGTTTTTACTAGTTTTTTCACCTTTTCTTTCCCTTTTGTTTGTTATTCTCCGGTTCTCTTTGTTTCTTTCTTGGTTTTCAATGTTTTTTCTTTTTTTCCTTCATTTTTTGTTTTTTCTCCCGTTTTCATTTGTTTTTCTTTCGTTTCCCTTGGATTTTCATTGTTATTTTACATACATATTTGGTATATATCTAATACATGATTAACATGTTTCAAATACAAGTTTAAGATTTTTTAAATACATGGTTAACATTTTTTCTATACACATTTTTTAAACATTTTTCAAATGCTTGATTACATTTTTGAAATATAATATTAAGATTTTCTGGGTACATTTCTATACAATTTAACTGTTTTTCTAAATGCTTGATTACATTTTTAAATACAAGATTAACATTTTTTAATACATGGTCAACATTTTTGTATACACGTTTAGAATTTTTCAAATCCTTTATTAACATTTTTAAATATTTGTTTTTAAATGCTTGGTTATTTTTTTAAAAATACATGATAATTTTATACAATTTTTAATTACATGGTAACATTTTTCTATACACGTTTAACATTTTTCTAATACTTGTTTATTTTTCTTTCAAATGCTAGATTTAAATACTTGCTAAAAAATTTCATACATATTTATATTTTTTGCATATATTTTTCTATAGTTGATAAACATTTTCTCTATACATATTTATCATTTTTAAATATGTATGATTTTTTTTGCATATATTTTCCTAGTCTCCTAGATGAATAGCGGGCACATCAGCACCCTTCAGGCGAAGTTTCAAAAATAAAATCTCAAAGAAATATTACGTCTTAAGAGTGTGATGTTCTATTAGTATGTGAAATTTCCAAGTTCAAACACATTACCAAAAGACAAAAGCAGCAATGAATAGTGTCAACAGTAAACATCACTATTCATGGCTGATTCCATAGCTCATAAATGGTACCGTCTTTGAACTTGAAATTTCACATGCAAATAGAACATCACCGTCTTAAACATCAACGTCTTAATAGTGGCCTCTTGAGATTTGATAGATGCATGATCCTGGTATGCTGTTCTCTCATACTCAAAAAAATTTCATATCCAGGACACGTACATGCATCTATTCTCCATCCCATTTCTTGGACATCATCCTAGAATTTTCGATCATCCTACTTTGGTTACAATCGAAGCACCCGCAGTATAATTAAGACAACACACAGCAGCAGCGCCCATGCATGTCGAAGCGTACGCATTTTGGTGGGCGGCGTCGGTGGCAGGCAGGCAGGCTAGCTGGAGGTGGTGTTGGCAACGACGGTGATGTTGAGCCGCTTGAGCGTCTCGAGCGCGATGAGCTCGTTGGCCCTGTCGGTGGGGTGGTACTCGTCCCAGAACACGTACTTGCTGCGGTCCTTGCAGAGCGTGGAGAGCGGGGTGCACGTCAGGGTCGGCCGCACCTTGCCGAGCGTGCAGCAGGGCGCGTGGGAGTTGTTGAAGCCGTGCATGTAGGGGCGGTCGATGATGTCCTGGAAGTAGTCGTAGACGTCTCCGAACTGGAACGTGGCGTTGGGCAGCGACGCCGCCAGCTCCCTGATCACCGCGCCGGCCTGCTTGTTGAAGCTGAGGGCGAGCTTGTTGGTGGACTCCTGGCACGCCGTGGAGGACCTCTGCAGGAGCCGCTGCAGCGGGATGCAGCCCATGGGCCCCAGCCCGAAGAAGGTGACCCGGCGCGCGCCCAGCCCGTGCAGGAGCCGGAGCTGGGCCTCCAGGGTGGTGACCATGTACTTGACGAAGGTGTCGCCGTTGTAGGTCCACGAGTCGGAGTAGACGGGGAGCAGGTAGTTGTTGATGAAGTCGTTGGCGCCCATGGCCACCACGTAGTAGGCCTCGCCGAACAGCTTGTCCGCCGCCGCCCGCCCGATCTTCTCCCGCATGAACGCCTGCGTCCCCTGGAACAGCTCGATCTGCTTGTACAGCGAGAACCTCTGGATCTGCAAATGCATGCGCCATGGGTCTCAGTCAGATGAGATGATCGAACCGGAGCGTTCATGTCTCATGATACTACCATGCTGTCTAGCTACGAGAAGTTGGTGAAGTGATGGATGGGTGTCTTACGAAGAGGGACGAGGTCTCGTTGAGGATGCCGCCGCCGCCGGACGCGTAGTTGAGGCCGCTCTTGGCGATGACGGTCTCGTCCACGGACGGGTCCAGGAACGCGGGCGGGCGCGGGAGGCCCATCTTGTCGCCGATGATGTCCGCGACGGTGCGGCCGTTGCAGAACCTGCCGTTGGGCATGCCGCTGCCGAAGTCGATGCCGTACCACGGCAGCGCCGCGCGCGCGAGGCTCTTGGTCAGGTAGTTGTTGTTGCCCACGTCCGACAGCGAGTCGCCGAAGATGAACTGCACCACGTCGCCGTGGGCGAGGCCCAGGAGCAGGGCCAGTGCCAGAGCAACGGCCAGCGGCGTCCTCTCACAACCCATGTCGATGATCTGCGAGCGCGTGCTTGTTCAGGCCTCTTGCTCTACTAATCAAGTCCTGGTTGATCAGGAATGGACTGGATTTGCATATATAGATGGGGGTGTGCGGCACGGCCGGGGAGTTGGGGATGGATGCACCTACCTACCTGCGAAGCGTCGGGAGGGGAACTTTTCAGCGAGCTTAATTCGGTGGCAAGCGGAGGAGTTGGCCTAACCTGGTCGTTTACTGATGTGGCGGATGTCAGCCGGCGGCAGGTGATCCTCCTCGCATACAAAAATTTTTTTGGGGTGATTGCCAGGCGTCAGCCGTCTGAAAACACAGAAATAACCGCCATTTTCCCGACCGTCAAAGGTGACTTATATTACGATCTTCAACCGTCCGATCCATGCAACAAAAAACTCCTACATACATTGTTAGAGACCAGCACATCTCCTTGTGCGTTGCAAAAGTAGAATTAGAACCGTGTTGCCGTACAAAAAAGAATTAGAACCGTCTTTAAAAAAATTAGAACTATCTTGAATCACCCGTGCTTCGCTGCGAAGTAAATAAATGTTAGTTGTCTGCTAGAGTCTCACCGTTTGCATTGCTACATTATTGAGCCGTGGTCTCTTTGGCCAATGATCACAGATATACTATATAATAATGTAATACTTATAATAATGTTCGAACTAAGGGCTGAAGGAATAGATGGTACCATCTAGGTAGTGATAGGCCTGGGTTCCCGACAGCCTCGAGTGATTCAACGTGGCGGAACGACAAGGCAGGTAGAGACCACCTAGGAGAGAAGTGGGCCTGGGCCCTGGTCGATGTCCAAGGTTATTTCTTAATAACACGCTCAACAAGATTTGAGTATTTGATCTGAGACTGTCACTGGCATATACACACTAATCACCCCGTGGGATTATGGTGTATGGGCCCCTCAGCGTCGTCAGTTCCTCCCGAAAGCTCTGCCTGATGTCACAGTACAGACTGCGGGCTGATTGTTGGGGTGAGCGGCATGCCTGCTGTGTATATAGAGGTGGGCTTGGTCCCCGACCAGTCGCGCCACGTGCAGGAGTGCTTAGAGTGATTGGCTCATGACCCCTTCACGCTTAGGATAGACTGACGGGTGACCTCTCTAGAGAGCCTAGGTAAGACTTCTGCGAGTCAATTATCCAAGGCCGCACATTGCCCAGAAAAGTGTGCCCGACCAAAGGTAATCGAGCGTATCGAAAAATGTGATGCACCCTTACAAGGAAGTTAAACTATTCGAATAGCTGTGCCCACGGTAACATATCGACTTGGAGTTGTATCCTGAACTCTTACAACTAAAACCGAATACTTGAAACACACCCTGATAACCCCAGAGAGCGCTTTCCAACAGGGTGACGAGGAGAGGATCACTATGAAGGTGATTGCTATATGTATGTACAAGATGATACCATATACACTCCTCGCTTCCACTGCTGAAAGATGTACTCTTCGATGGGATGAGCTTCTTCCCCTTATTCTGGTACTTCTGCAGTTTAGTCCACACATATTACTCCACCCCTTTGATACCAATGCATATCAAGTATAGATTTGATGTAAGTCCTGCGAGTACTTTGGATGAGTACTTGCCGTTGCTTTGCTACTCTTTTCATTCGATCCGGTTGTTGCAACAACTGGTAGCACCATGGATGTAGGTTACCTTAATCATGCGTACTACATGGAGACTGATGAGCAGGAATAGTCTGGAGGTCCAAGGCAGGAGGCCTTGCTTTCGATCTAGTGTTGTTGTTTTGCTTAGTCTTCTTAAGACAAACTTGTCTAACTATGTCTGTACCCGTTGCTTTGTTTTCTTAAGGCAAACTCTTACTCGTTGCAACGGTTTCCTTGCTTTGTTTTCTGAAATTTTTCCTAGAGGCACATCATCCTGCCTTGGTTCCTGGTAGTAGGCAACCACTTACCCGTCCTCACAGCCTTCCACCAAGATCCTTCTATCGTTCTCATACGTGACATCAAAGCCTTCCTTCTTCTTCTCATTGATCCATATTCCCACATCCTCCAGCTTGAACATTTGCAAGTCAAAATCCCCATTTTATATTCCACACCACAACAGTCATCAGGAACAAATAGCTGGAGAACATGATATGTTTTTCTAGGCTGTCTTCAATATCGTTTTAGACTAAAGCAACTGAAGAGAATTCAGTATTACTGACGGGAAAATGGGCACCCTTTTACAAATCTTAGAAGGTCGCATACCCTTAGCTCCCCTTTTTTGTGTTTCCTGTAACCTTGTTTTGTTATATCCTCAGATACAATGTACACTGGTCAATCTTCCCATGAGGGATAACTCTCTTCAGGCCATTCCTACATAAAGGAAAGGAGTAACAAATTAGTTCATTAAGAACATGTAGCAGCAGAAGCATCTGCTACATGATAAATGATACTAATACACATGTCAGTCCAGAACAGAGGTAGTAATAAGTTTCCATCCATTGTTTACTACCGTCATGGTTTTAGTTTAAATTTGAAACCATGACACTTATCTATACCAATATAAAAAGATCCAAAGGGGCAGATCCAACTGATCTCGACCATCGAACTAAGTTAATCCAACGACCTAGACTGCTCCAATGGCGAGTGTTAAACGTGTTTAACGTGCAATTAATATTATAACAAATATTGCACTAATCACAGAATTAACACACAAATAGCATACCTAATATCCACGTGGAATTAATATATTGCCTAAATATTAACGTGTGTTGCACGTGCGCATTCACTAGTTTTGGAAGGGAGGTAAATCACGCAAACAAAGAGTTCCCCTGTGCTAAAAACATGTTTGCATAATTGTGCAATAGGAAAAAGATAGTTTAACACGTTACCTCTGAAGTTACATACCACTTGCTACTAGTAGAATGCCCGTGCGTTGCCACGGGCATTTAAAATAATTTGTTGAAGTTAAAACATGATGCATGTTAAAATTCGTATGTATAAAAATAAAGAGTAATAATCGGATAATAATTGAAATCCCTGTTACTTGTACCATGGTAGAAACGGTAATGTGCAAAGAATCTTAGATGAGTCTATGTCATCAATCAGTGCCTATCTTAGTCGACATTATCGAATCATCATTCGTATCCATGAGATCAAAATCCATTACTTTTATCTCCGTTCCACAAATGTGAAACATATAAATTATAAACGAGGCCTGGCAGCGACAAAGCTTGGGTTCTCCTGTTGCATCGTCTACGCCGGCACCGCCGCTGGTCGTGAAGGCGGAAAAGGAGGAAGTCGCGCAAGTGGCCACCCTTGAGGAAGCCAGCCGACGCCAGATCGAGGAGTCTGAATGCTTGGAGGAGTCATACTGGCCTCACATGCCGCAGGCGATGGCCGATAGCGTCGCCGATGTTGGGGCCAATGCACCGCCGGCGCCTCCCGTGCCAGGCATGGAGGCCACCGCCTCCACCCCCTCCTCAGGCGGAGGGCCAAACGTACATATGGGCTCCGTCTAGTGTGCCCGTGTATGTGGCTGCTCCACCTGTTTGGCTGGGCATGCCAGAGGAGGTGCTGCGCCAACACCTCCTGGAATGGGAGTCCCGGGCAATGGAGGTGGAGCGGGCGGAGCACGAGCGCATAATGCAGCTGGAGGCCAGTTAGAGCTTGACACGGAGGCCGAGCGCCGCGAGCTCGAGGAGGAGGCGGCCCAGAGGGTGGCGACGACACAAACACGGCTCAGACGTCCCAGCAGGTGGACGCTCTAGATGAGTACCAGGAAGCCTTTCTGTGGGCGTAAGCGCCGGAGTACGTCGACCTCACCAACGAGGATGACGATCTGCCATCCGTTGTCTTTTTTTTTCTATTTTAAGTTATTATTAATGTAAGTGGACTTTGGGGACATATAAATTATTAAGTTTATCTATTGTACATTTTATTTTGGTTTTTAACATTTTTTTGGTCGCAAATTTGGAGATGCTCCGACCACGTTGGATGCAGAAACCACATTCAAGCTATTGACCGATCTGTTTTCGTGACTCAAATGGACAAAATCCAGACAAAGCAGACCTTTGTTTGTAGTCGTGAGGTGGAGTTGGCCTAAGTCTCGGCAGTTTTGGCCTTGAATCGTTGTTGTCCCTTGGATATGGAATGAACGTTGGATGTATAGGCGCATGTTACACAAGGCAAGTCAACTGAGCTACTGCTCTCGTTGGATGTCCACCGCAGGGACAATCTCCACCGCAGCTACTGCTCTCGTTTTCTCCCCTCACAGCCGCTCCTCTCTCCCTCAGGCTCTTAGCCACTCCTCTCCATGGCGCCTCCCCTTCCCTCGACGTCGTCCGGCCCCTCCTCTTCCCGCCACGGCGTTGACCGACCCCTCCTCTCCCCACCTCGAGCGAGCCCACGCGCCCGCCGGTATAGCATCCTGTGTAGCCAGATCCGGCCGGTCGGTGCAGAAGGGTTCGCCGCTCTCCGTTCGTGCCGGATACCCAGCTGGCCCGTCCGGATGTGGGCGGGACGACATCGGGCACAGCTTTGCGGCGCGGCGAGGAAGAGAAACGCCGCCCTCGTCGTTGGCTCCGGTCTTCTACCCAGCTGAGCACCGGAGCATAGTCGCGCTGCCGCGCGGTCGATCTGCATGACGAGGCCATTCCAGGCCGATTCCGGTGCGAAGGTGTGCATACCGTTGCGCGGAGGGCGACCACACCAGCGACACGACCTTCTGCTCACCGTATCGCTGCACAGCATGCCTATGGTAGAATCAAAGGTAATCTAACTTTCAACCAAGGCTGTACATTTGACCCATATCAACACAACCATTAGTATTCATTCTTTAGTAATTTTGGCACTTCTAAAGTGACGATCATAGATATTGAAATCAGTGAAGATCTTGTTATGCTGTCAGTTGATGACCGGTGTGGTATGGAGCTAGATGAGACTGACTTGGCTGTCTGGCTTAAGTTGGAGGCTGCAACGGAAGAGTTCATTCAGAAAAAAATACAGGCTTTAAAGATGTTTGTGAGTTTCTAGTTCCAAGATA